AGGTTACATTTTCAAGGCTACCACATTATCAGTATGAGACAACTTACTTTATAAAGATACCGCTATATGTTACCCCATTCACCAAAATTTTTGGTGAAAACAGCTCTTTTGAATTAAGTGCCTAACATTGCGAATTTAGTAAATTAAAATACAAAACGAAGTTTATTTACATTAAATTCATAGCATAATGGATTTGTTTAGCAATGCTACTTGGAAAATGCCTAAAGAATGGAGAATTGGTTGCTGACAAGCTAACACTTTTTGCTCATGGAATTAATCTTAAATTGTCTTGATACAGCCCATACATGTAATTTGAGCATTTAATTTTCTTAATATGAAGCTAAGTTTGCCCAAATTCAAATGCAGATATACATATAACATCACAGTTATCCTTGTGGTTGTCACGAAAACCTCAGCCTCTCTGAAATAACGGTCTGAACAGTAAGAAAACCTCAACAAAACCAGCACATTTTTACATCAATAAACACATTAGCTTTATAGCACCTTGCAGGCATAACAGCTACATTAATCTCCCTCAAAATGAAGTATTTCACAGCTAAACATTTTCCACTTTTTTTTTTTTAAATCTGGTGCAATACAGGAAACATCAACTTAACATTGTTACTTTGGGTCAATGAAATGACTGAATACAAAATTTTAATTAAGTGTGTTGGAGCTAGAACAGTGATCCAAAACTCAAAAGAACATAGCAAAGAACTTTCTGCATAGTGTCCGTAAACGAATATGAAATACCAGCCAACATGCTTTCCCTTTTAGCACTGAATTAATGGGGAAAAATTAGAGAGTCAAAATTATGCATAAAAATGTAGTGTTCAAAGGAGATAACATGCCAGGCTTCATCTAAGAACTGTCCTTTTGAGCTACATTAAAACTGGAATAAAGATTTTATTAAAAGCAAAAATCATTCAAGTAATCATAAAACATACTTACCAAGTTTTTTTTTTTTTTTTTTTTTTTTTTTTTTTTTATTATTAGAGGCATATTAAGCATACATCAAAAAAATACAGGATGCAACTAGACAAAATAAGCTCACAAGCCTCAAAAATCAAACACTAATGAAAACAAAAAGAGAACAATCAGGTATAAAATTTGCCCTACACAAAAATTTCTAAACAGTCCCTAACAAAACTCTACTGGGACAGCTTATGGCCACAGTCTTTGGTGGAATATTAGTATACCCTACAGCATAAAACAATTCACAGAATCATAGAATCGTTAAGGTTGGAAAAGACCCTTAAGATCATCGAGCCCAACCGTTAACCTATCACTGCCAAGTCCACCACTAAACCATGTCCTCAAGCACCACGTCTACCTGTCTTTTAAATACCTCCAGGGGTGGAGACTCAACCACTTCCCTGGGCAGCCTGTTCCAATGCCTGACTGCCCTTTCGGTGAAGAAGTTTTTCCTAATAACTAATTTCCTAAATAACTGCTTTCTACATGCCAGCATATAAATAACAATGCTTAATGCCTGCAGAAAAGCTTTGAGATCTTTTATTTAAGGTTTTGCAGAATACCAAGTGTTACTCAAGATTCTTTACCCTGACCTTCAGTTTCTAATGCCTTCTGGCAGTAAAGCACCAAAGAACATGATTTAACACCTATTGCCCAGGGTTCTTCTCTCTCCCCATTTCCAGAAAAAGAAAAGTGTACATGGTTTTGTTATAAAAATTTTCTTGTTTAAAATACATCACCCAATACTTAGAACTCAGTATGTGCTATAATTTGATCTGATCTTTTTTTCCTGGGTTTACTCATCTAGTCTGTTAAAGAAAAACTGAACAGCAAGTAAGCCAAAATTCTTTCCCAAACTGCACAAGGCAAACTGAGACATTGGCAGCACTTGAGGAAGCTCAAGTGACTGAACACTCACTGACCGTAAGCTAATAATGACAACAGTTTTCCATTGAATGCAAATAAGGAAGATAGCATACACATCATGTGATTTCCTTAAAAATAAACATTATATAAACAAACTGAAATGATTATTCAAGTAAATATGGTAAATCTCTTGAGATGAGGGGAAATTGCGATTCTAGTATGGGTAACAAGAATTAACTTTAAGTTACTGTTTTTTTGGTAAGGCAATGAAAACTGGAGGTAAAATGTCTTCCTAAGTACAAAAAGAGAGGTGGCACAGAATAAAAACTACTGACAGCTGGATGGAAAAAAAACCCAAACAACTTTTAAATGACTCAAAGAAAACACTGAATTGTGTGCAGTTATGTTCAAATAACTCAAAATGCGTTCAATATAACTTGATCTTCTGGAGCCAAAAGTAGCAATCTAACTTATCTCTAGGAAACCTCCCAAATAACATGAGAGAGTAATCTTCATAATTATGCCATTTCCTACAGTGTTTAGCCAGCAACTGAATTCCTTCATGTAGGAAAAATTGTAATAACTTTTAGTTTTTCTCCTTCACAAAAATACTATGCCACTGTTTTCATGATACACCTTACTTACCTATTTAAATCTATCTGATGGTCTTGCTAGAACAATCTAGTCCTCTCTCACCTCTTCCTTTGGAAGGGCTACTAGATATTTGGGTGTTTTATACCTAACATTACCTTTTTGTGTAAGCATTCTCTACATGGTTTGAAACAAACAATGCTTTACATATTAAGTATCTGAGACTATATATATATATATATATACACATCTGCCAAATACACATTTTTTCAATCCAAGTTTTATTTTCCAACTTTTCTCAACAGTATGTGGCCAAATTCTTCCAAATTCTTATTATTAAAATGGTAAATGTTTTAAAAATTTAATTGCATAATAAAAGACAAATGTAAGGAATTTACAAGCAAGTATCATACAACTGTTTCCAGTTGAACTTTATCTTGTCCAACACCACATACCAGAGCATTATTAAAAATATATCATTTGCATGGAAGATCATCAGTCAGATTAAAAATACTGTAGAGGTTTCTCTGGGTTTAAACGCAGATGCATTCAGGAACTCCTTCAGTAACATACACATCAAATTCCATAGCTGATTAAGTCCTTTAAACTGTCCTCAGTGTGATGCTGTATTTTATAATCTTCCACATGTGCATGCATGAAGACATCAGACTGGTTAATCATACCTTGAGTTAACGATTTCACTAAAACCTTTAAAGAACAAAAGAATACTGCAACTTATTGCTCTCAGCTTTTTCATGTGTCTTGTTATTTGAAGTTCTTAAAGTGGCAGATCTTGAAGAGCTGTGATTATGTAAACTGTTCCACTTTTCATTTAAAAGTCTTCTAAACCTGCATAGATGAAAATTAAGATGCAATTCAAAATTTAAGTCATATAACTCTTTGGAGTTTGAAGCAATTTTTGAGACATTGAGATTGATGTGGTTTCTTAAGAGGCTCCAGCAATAAGCTGGATGATCTCTAAATTTTAATACTGTTGCTGATTAGATTCATTTAGCAGCTGAGCCCAGTTAACCTAGGAGGACAGAGTAGACTTCAGTTGCATGCTGATGGCCCAGAAAAATATCTCTATATAATCTGGAAAAGTTAGCACATCTTACCACAATACACAGCTACAAAAATATGTTTATGCATAGGCACTTGCTCATTTAATTCTAAAAAAGAAAACCCAAAACAAAACAACAAAAAAACCCCAACCCCAACCAAACAAAACTCCCCACATAAGTCTCAAACTCCCAATTTTAAAATGAAATAGTTTTGGGGAACTGTCACTAAATCTTTTAAAATAAATGTGAAAAGACTATGCCCAAAGTTTCAAGCTGAGCATAAAATTATGCACAAAGACAAAATTTTGTTGCAAATATTTACTCAAAAAGTAATAATTTACAGCAGTGCTTTAACAGCTGTTCAAAACATTTAACATTCATTAGAAACAAAACTGTAAGTCAAAAGCACATTCTGAATGTTTTGGAGCAATGAGTTCATAAGAGCAAGCTACCATTAATCATATGCATTCCTACATCTAGCTGCTAACTAGAAGACCAAAAAAAAACCAAACAAAAAAAAACCAAACCAAAGCCAGCAGCCATCTTTCTGTACACAATTTAGACTACAAAAAGTCCTGAAATTGAACTTTACAATTCTACTTTATATGCCCTTGTGTCCTTTTTGTAACAGTTAGCCAGTAGCAGCTGCAAAATGGCAGAATGCATGCCAGTCGGTGTTTCCAGTTTGGGGTTTTCCTTCTTTTTGCTTAAAACAGTTTTTACATTAAACCATACTTTGGTGTGACTTACAGACCATTCCTATGGGTCTACAGCTAAGAATAATTAAAACAATGGTAAAAGCCTAACAGCTACAGTACTTTCAGCAGTATGTTCTACTTTGTACAATTATGTTCGGTATTTCTGCACAGCCTGCACACTGAAAACCCCACAAATATATATTTTTATTGTAATAATTCCACTTTCACTGAAAGTTTATTAAGGTAAGCTTACAGCCTGGCAGGATTACACCTGTACAGAGGTGCATAGATTCATATAATTCTGTTTACATGCTTTTACAGACAGGAATGTGACACCAAGTCCAAAGGGTTATGTTTACCCAAATTATCAGCAGACCAATAACCATCATTACAAGTGTGCTCCATTTCAGCATCAGAAGTGAATTCATACTAAACTCCACTCTTTAATGATATTCACACTGAAGGATTTAGAAAAATATTTTCTTGGCAAACAAATCATCTTATCCAGGGCTAGTTAACTATAAAAATTAGAATTTATTCCTCCTTTCAAATGTCAATCTAATAAGGTACATCACATCCAAGAGACAGGAAGATATATTTGAAAGTGTTACCTTTCATAAATTTAGTTGTACATACACATACATGCTATCTTCATATGCAAAACTTCCATTTAGTGTCTCTTCTCTCCTCCCTCTCTGCTCCCCCTTTTTTATTTTTAATAATTAGCATCAATGAGCACACTCATCAGGAATGGTCCATGGTGTTCTTACCATTGTTTATAACAAACAATAAAATTAACATAATTTCAGCTTGCTTCATTTTCATCTGTCTTGTTTACAGTTGTTTCCATTCTGTTGGGACTGCTTTCTTTAGAAGTCTCATCTGTTTGTTCAGAGAGTTGTCCAGCTTTCTTTGATGAAGGTGCAACGTTACCTTTTTGAAGAATTTCAGTAGCTTCATGCTCTAGTACCTCTGATGGAGTCAAAGGCTCCAAATGAATACTGCCTTGTTCACTAATGTCTGAACTAACGGATTCAGGTTCATCTCTTTTTCTCAAGAACTGCTCAAAACTAACATCTTCACCCAATGTTAGTTTTAAGTCCCTTGCGTTCATTGCTGAAAGTGTAGTTTCATCCAAGCTACGTACTTTAGTCTGCTCATTCAAGATAACATTATCTGAACTTTGGCAAGTTTTCAATTCACTTTCATCATGAATACATTTTTGTTTCTCATCCACTAATTGTTTGTTATTATCTGAATCACAACACGCTCCTTTCTCATGCAAAGAATTCTTTGAGCTGTTGTCAGGGAGTTCCAAACTAGGAACATTTTCTGTATTTGAGAATGATGAGTTTTCTTCATTCTTTTCAACTGATGCAACTTTTTTAGTTTGATTTCTATTGCATTCTTTTGTTTCGTCTGAAGAGTCACGCTCTTGTTTGCTGAAAAAAACCAAAACAAGTTATTTTTATAAAAAATGAAATAAAGCAACACATGGCCGTACTCTGCAAAGTGACACTGAGAAAGTGGTATTGTAGATTTCCTATTTGGTATTTCTCCCAAATTTTCATAGCAAGATGGGCTGAATTTAATTAATGGCTGCATTTTTCTTACGTATTTACAAACTCAGCTTTATATTTAGTAGTCAATTAGTACTCTAGTTCTTGCATTTCATCTCCAGAAAGGAAGGTTAAGTCATCCCCTTTGTGTGACACATGGAATTTTCCAAAATACAATGTTAAGTTCCACTACCTGCACAGCCTCTTCAACACAGATGCAGATACAACAACTTGGAAACTTTTGTTGATGATGTGCAAGAAAAAAGAAGCCGGTTTGTACCTTTATACTGTCAAATTGACTCTACAATACTAATGAGAGTAAAGCGAGAAAAAAAGCTAACCGTTGGAAACCTAAATTAACTTAAATCTAAGGTTTAGTTGAGCAACTACAAATTTGGATTCACTGAAAAAATTAACCTGTGAAGTAGCATTTTCAGTCACTTTTCAGAGTAAAACTATGTTTATAAAAAGAAAATACAGATCAGTACTTAATTATGCAAGTAAAAATGAGAATTTTACTGTATAATCTAAAACACAGCATACAAACTTTGTAGACAAACTGATTGTTTAAACCTTGTATTATTTCAATAAAGCCACATACATGCAGTACTTTAGGGTAACTGGGGAAAGAAAAAAAAAAAAAATCAGAAAGACGGAACTGTATACTTCAAATGCCATCTGTACCCACAAAAATACAAAATAGTCTGGTCATACTGGTAGATGCAATTTGCTCATATGTTCGTATTCCAACAATCAAATTCTAAATACTAGTTTCTAATATTTCTCTTAGTTTGTTATAGGAACACCAGCTTCTTCCATCCTTTCAATGATGGAACTCAATTTTTACTGTAAAGATTTAAATTTAGTAAAAGTTTAATATAACTTCTAACCCATTCAAAATTTTTCAGAGTGAGAAGTAGCTCAAATTACCTAAAATGATGATGGTGACAGACAAAATAAAGCAGGGGGGGAAGATGGAGGAACAACAGTTGGTCTGATTTCAGATATAAATTCTATATATGAAGTGAAATTAGGAGCAAATAAGTCTCCCAAATTAACTTCTAAAATTTAAAACTTAAATTGAAAATAGTGTCTGAACAGTGACAAGCAGACAAAATTGTGACAGATATAGTATCACCAAATATCTTATTAATCAAAATGCATTTGTACTTTATTTCTTCACATAGTTTTAAAAATGGTTTGAAATAATTTTTGGCTAAAACCACTTTTAACATTACCCAAGCAACAGATAGTTACAGGACTCTTAAAAGGAATAACTGATTTCCTACTACTATACCTTTATGATGTATTTTCAAGCTGAAAGTCTAGACACGTAGCTCTACTGATCCACTAATTTAAAACAATTCATGTGATTCGCTTATATACTAGATGATATTGAGTTCTACAGAAAATGGTTATTCTGGAAGAGGTGCTACATACTACAAACATTCAGAAATCTGTTTTCAAGTTTTACTTTCACTTAAATAAACTAATCCAAGAATATTCCCTTTCCTACTTCAAATTTAAGTCAGAGGAATATTTGAGTAGGGTAAGAGACTGCTGAGATATCCTTGAGTGGTGAAATCTTACCAGTCACTGAGGTAGTCATAAGAATCTTTTCAACCTGTTACACCAATTTTTCATTCATAATAAGGAATTAAAAGATAGGCCAACCTCTTTACGAAATTACAACCTGTATTTGCCACTTGTGTCAAACAAAGTTTCTTTTTATTTATTGGACTATCTAAACCAGTAAATGACACTCATACAAACCAATTTTCTATCCAAGTTCTCCTTTTTCTCAAACTTGTAGAAAAAAGGGGAAAAAGGGTAACATTTGAGGGAAGACTCAAGACTAAGTTCCAGCACAAAAGCCAACACTCACAACCATCCATCAGCTGTGGCTGACATAACTGCTCCTGCCATAACTGTTCCTAATTGCCTCATCTATTCCAGAGAAACACTTAAGCTATGCAGAGCCATATAAATGCTAGTAAACATTTAGGATTGTTTTCATATGAAAATCCAGTCAACTCTATGAAACAGTGCATATACATAACCTTCAGCACCTACTTTTCAACAAGCAGCTTAAGGGTGAGGTGTAGTTGCAGAGTTAACAAGCACAGTATTATGCTTTATGTCGGAAGTTTTGAACACAGATATGCAAAAAAAAAAAAGGGGGTTAAATAAAGGGATGACTTAATGCCTCATTAGCACACACAGAACAGTGTTTCCACACTAGAAATCCCAAATGGATTAGATATATGTACATACACACACACAAGATTCATACCGAGAAACTCTTCAAAGGACAAATCTGCCCTTAATATATATAAGGAATCCATTACAATCTCCCTCACCTTCTAGTAACCAAAATCCTAGCTTCATCCAAACCCAGCCTCTCATTCTCACTCATTTTTTGCAAAACACAGGAAGGGAGGGAAGTGGGGAGTAAGAAAAGAAAAAAATATATATATTTCTCATGCAGAAACATTCTGTCTCTCATCAGCATACCTTCCCATAAGTCATTTATACCAATAAAACAGTATAAAAATAAAATTGAACAAGTTTTTGCACAACAATCACCATCACAAAAACAATTATCCACAGAGCAGTGACCTTTTAGATCACTAAGCACAACAGTAAGTTCATTTAGATAGAACAGTTCTCCAATGAAATAATTTACCTCTGCTGAGAGCTGCAGATGAATAAACAAAACCTAGCAACTGTGAAGCACTAAAATCCCACAATAAAAAGAAAAATTATATAGGATTTAAAGATATCATTCTGTTAGTAAAGTCAGTAGCTGAAAAAGAATAGCCTTCCATCCAATATTAGGAATGAAACGTACTCTTACTACTCTATGTGCAAACAATACTGGTTACAGTGTAAGAAAACTAAAAATTCGGGCATCAAAAAGACTGGAAAATGCAAGAATGATAATAACTTATATAGAAAGGAGGATTTCAGTGAACAGTTGGAATGTAAAATCTGACTTCTGTTTAATAAAAACAATGAACCCATCTTCTAAAGCATGATACAAACCGTGGTTAGACTGTCAGATATAGGCTGTACTAATGAACTAGCTGCCATATTGTCTATATGAAGACAGCTTCTAGAATAAGACTACTTCACGGGAGTAGCATAAGACACAATTTTGAATCCAAGAGATGAGTCTACCAGGTGCAAACATACACCCATCCCAAACTACAGAAGCCTAGAAATTAAAGGGATTTTTCCGCTTTTTCTCATTGTATAGAAAAAGTAAGATTTGGGTGCCAAGTAAGGCTGAGGGATGCTAGGCTCTGAATATTTGTTGTTTTATAATCCTACTATGTCAAGTTTTTTTGCTGCTCTTTGCTATACATACTCACTTTATTTAGAGTATTTTATTATTTTATATTGGTATTTTATATTAAGATTTTAAAAATCATTCAGGGAAAAATTCTTCAGCAATAAGGAAAAAAATCATACAACTTCAGAACAGAACTGTGAACAAGTGACATTTACACATCTGCATACAGAGTAGTTGCAAAGTATGTGCAAACACACCTTCAGTCTGTGGAGAAGTATTTCCAGGTAACAAAACTTGTATTGCAGCTGCATTTACATTAACAGTTTGGTGTGAAACACCACCATGGTTTTGAGGCACATTCCTTGATTGTTCCCACATACTGGTTTGGTTTACAGAGCAGCCCTGGGGTATGCAAACTAGATTTCTTTTTGAGGAGAAAGAACTGGAAGCTCTGATCCACAAGTGCTCCAGCTCCTAGCGGAGATGGGTTCTCAAGAGTCAAGCCAACAACGGATGTTCCACACAGCTCTCAATATGTGCACAGGATGGGCATTCTGTCCAGGGAACACAAGTCTGGTCTAAAAGAACATCTCCGAACCACAGTGCAGTGAACATGCAGGATTCTCAGAATCAACTGCTTTCATCTACTGATCTGCTCCTGCAGCACTGATTATTTGCCAATATCAAAATAACCACCTTGGCTTAATAACAGAGAAAAGTGTTTGAGGACTGAGAATCTCTGGTGCTAGAGCTATGATACTGCACGTCTGTCTTAAAGCCCATAAAGTACTATCAAAGTTTTAACAGAAAACACAGAACAGATTTATATATTAAAATTATTTTTGTCTACTTAAACACAAGGATAGGAGAAAGTAGTACAGCATATTCATCAACCGGAATGACAGTGACTGTTCACTAATCCGCAGCTTAAAGACAGAGTTAGCATCTAATACCTGAACCATTTAGTCTCAATTCTTAAGCAAGCATTTTAAGTGAAAGTAAAATTTCAAATTATTTGGCCCACACTGCATATGACTAGAATAAAGAGAGAAAGCAGAACCATTTCTAAGAAGAAAAATAACCTACAAAGAGACTCTGAAAGCAGTTTGCTTTTTTTTTTTTGGCACTATAAATGCATATATAACAAATAACTACAATTGTGTTTTGACTAAGCTTTGAAAGGTTAAATTTACACCAACCATTGTGAAAGATCACTAACTGGAATAAGACACTTCAGGCTGTGGGATCTGGAGTAATTATTTAGATGAACTATGTGAAGTATAAGTCTGCCCACAATATGCGTCAAACAAAGTGTGTAAGATTTCAATTATTTCCCCGGACTAACATAAAAAATTCCACAATTTTGCATTTTTTTTTTTTTTTTAAGTGTAGGGCTGCAATTGTTAGTTACCCAACAATTTCACATATTTGCTTTGCTAAGAATTTGGTTGAATATGCTTTCCACAAATGACAGGGTTTTAAAAATCTAAATGAATATCCAAGAATTAACATTTTATACTGTATTTTAAAACTGTCTCCCAATTGTGCCAGTAATACTGTTAACTCATACGCAATATTATAATAAATGCTTCTTTTAACAATCTGTACAATTTCTTTAATGTCTTATGAATCTTGACTAATTTGCAGTTTAAGCATTACTAAGAATGTGTTTTGACACTTGGAGCCTAAATTCTACATGTCTTGTTGAGTAAGTACATTACAACCGCCATTCAAAATTTTCTATCATAGAAAGTACACTTTATGAAAATACTAATTAAATACTTTTGCCCAATTACCTGAGAAATAACACAGCATGTGTTATTTTATGTACCTGATTTCAAGATGCTGCTGATCATTGTATTTACCTTTCAAAAGTTGGTGTTTCTGTTTTTCCTTCAGATATACTAGGTCTGGAAATTTTCTGTAATAATTAATGATATTTCTTTTATTTTACATTCATGAGCAACTGATACAATATAAAGTTGTAGAAATAATTTCACACTGACATTCCCATAAATCCGCCATGTAGCAGAGATTGAACATGGATCTTAGTACTGACATTTGCAAATAGTCTTCCAAGTTTAAAAAACAAAAAAAAAACAAAAAAAAACAAAAAAACAAAACAAAACAAACCCAGAAACAAAGCAAAACTTTAAAGCAACTCTTGTAGACTTTTTCATATATATAATTCAATTATGCCTTATTGAATAGGATGCAAAGTCTGGACAGCTTTTTATTTGGAGGGGAAAAAAATCTGAACTAGTGTTTTGCTAGCAAAAAAAAAAAAAGGGCAAAAAAAAAGCAAAGCAAAGGTAAGAAAGAAAGTTGAGGTGAATATATTTTTTAAGCATTACACAATGCTTTAGCCCTACAGATGCAATTACATTAAGTGTAAGCATAAGGAAGATTCTTAACCCGTTTTTAGAACAGTAGAAAAGCAAGTGACTGAAAACTGCCATTTGGAAACAACCACACCCATCTTCTAAACGCATCTCCTATGCTACAGGGCATCTTGCCCATATAATCTTACTCTCGTTTAGGAAATTTTAAGTGCCTACGTGACAAAATTAAGAAATTAAACTTTTTTTCTGTCTGAACACAACTGTAAGTTAATTTTGATCACTGCACATAAAGATGAACATTTTAAATGATTATTTGTATCACCACCTCTTTAATATTTAAAATGGCGTAAACAATGTTACATACTCTTAGCATAGTATTTTTTTCCCCCCAGAGGTGGTATATTTTGTTTCAATGAGGACAAATCACGCAGTAAGTATTTTAAAACTGTGTGGTAAAGTTAAGCTTATTCTATCTTCTAAAATACCCTTTGCTATACTTCAATCACACTGTTATTTTTCTGTCATACAAAACCCATACACATATGACCCATGCTAAGAAACACTTTCTGACTTAAAATTACTGCACTTTACTTCCTACTACAGAACCTCCTTCCCTATCCACCATCCTCCTCTGCCCTGGCTGACCATATTCTCCTCTGGGAATCCTCAGGAAAGGAAGACATCCTGACTTATCTCTCCAAGTTTTAAATGTTATGAATAAATACATATCATAAACAACCTGATTCATATTTTTGGTTCTTCAGCACCCTACGGGTCTGTCCTTTGACCTCCTGCTGTGTATTTCAACAAACAGCCAAAATGTCAAGCATCTGGCTGCAGCGAAATAACAGGCATTCCATGGCACCTTGGAAAAAACAACCAGAAGTTCCACATGGCCCAGACCATGCTGAACGGCAGCTGACTGTTCTGAAAGGTCTTGGTTCAGATGTCCTGTAAGCTCAGACAGCTAACACCAAAGTAGCCTATTCTGTCTGTATTCTCCACCTTTTCCAACCGTAAGGACTAGGGTGTGTGGGTTGCTTTTTTGTTTTGTTTTTATTTGGGTGGGGGGGGGGAAATGTTGCATTTTTTTGTTTTATTTTTAAATGAAAGCAAATATTACAGAACACAACTTTGTGGAGCAAAAAATGCAAATTCGACATCTTCTATAATGCTGAAACACAATATGGCATGAAAAAGAAATTAAAAACTAAGAGAAAACACGCCTCAAGTGGTAATGGAGTCTATGAAAAGGTGTTACTGTGTATGTTTGAGAATCTTGCTTAATGCTACTGAATGAAGTTGAACAGTCCTCTCACATTTCTACAAAATCATTGCTTCTGTTAAAAAAACTCACTAACCCCTTTGTGTTTTGGAAAATAGGCAGTGTTACAAAAAAATCTTTACTAGGTCTGAGGACTTCTCCCATTCTCTTACCGGCTGGGATTTCTGTAACAGATTGCCCTTTTTGAAGGGCAACAGAAAGACAACTTCTTACAGAAGAAAATTCTGTAAAATCAGAATCCGAAGATTATATTTTTGAAAAAAGTTAAGAAGATGTACTGTGAGATTATTTATCTTCCTGACAGGCAGAAAGCAGGGGAAAATTTGTACATGTGCCTAGAAAAAAAAAAAAAGTCAGGCCTGAAGAGGCATTTTCAAAGATTTTCCTCTTTAAAGAGGTAAAAATAAATAAATAAAAAAAACCTAAAAAAGTTACAGTTCAGAGTCAATATTTAGCCAGATGTCAGGTTATATTCCAGGTCAATTTACAGGTTCCCTGAAGATGAAGATACATAAGGCAACTAAACCATTCCTTCCCTGGAGCCTGGCATACAAACCAACCAGAATGGACTGACTACAGACTGGAAATTTTTGGGTGTGGTAGACATACTAAAGGTGTCCCTCCAACACTGCCATATCTTTTTGTAGTAAAACACAGAAAGCTAGATTTTTGCATTATGCATATCTTCTGAACACCATGACCCAGTAGTACACATGTAGTTAAAAAAGAATTGTCTTCGATCTTCAAACTAGTTATGAAGTTCAGAGATATTGTTAGACTGTGTGGAGAAAAGAAAAGACATTACCTCCAACTTAGCTTCTCTCTCTCTAATGGAGATTTCGGTCTTTAACCTAGTGGATAATGAATTAAGATTCAATGTTTTAAAATACTGTATGGTTAAAATAGAGATAAGGATGAAGATACTTACAGTAAGAAAGCAGTTTGGTAATCCGAAATCCATTTTTAAAGTTGATACTTAATTTGAGCTTAAACATACTTCAGAATTCCAGAAGACCATTTCAGGATTTTAAAATGTTTTATTGGGTATACAGAAATAAGATAAACTTGTTTCATGTAACCCATTCCAGTTATCTCACCTTATGAAAATCAGGAAGCAACAGTTTTAAGCTAGCAATACTTTTGTTCTAGCGCTTATTGCAATTCTACATGAGAAATAACCTCCTCATCGTAAAGACCTTTTAAACCATGACTGAAGTATTTAAGAACTGAAATAAATTTGCTGAAACACACTTTTTAAAAGTGCCTAAAGCTACATTACGACCCAACAAAAACATTCTGCAAAAAACCCTCAGTTTTCTTTTAATTGTCTACCATAACCCAAATACCCAGAACACAGCTGTAGTTTACTTTAGGGCAACTGTAAAACATTACAGCTGACCTCCAACTACTATTTGGAGGAGATACTTCCCTCAAAATACCTTCACAGGCACAGTCCATACATTAGATGAGCTATAAATTATTTAAATTTATTGACTTTTAAAACCACATTAATTAAACAGCTTATCACAACATCACTAAAATTGATTTTCTGTGTTTATATAAGAAAATGCTATCACAGAGATAGCAAGAAGTACGTCTTCTACAAAACCTTAAAGTCATCAGTTCCAATACAAAGTCTAACCTTCCAAAGGTTTCCTATTAAAAAAAGAAAAACTGAACAAAACCTTCAAAATTGCTTATGCCTGTATCTTCTTTGTTGATGCTGCATTAAAGGCAAATTTAATCTGCTGAAGTATGGTGCTGCCTCTGTTATATTTAAATAATGTTATTAATCATAAATTAAATGATTCACGACCTCAGCGAGTCTTAATGGATGTCTACAAGGTGCAAAATACTTGACAAAAGAAACAGCTTTATCAACTTAAATTTTATGAAAAATGTATACTAATATTAGATTGGTATCTACCACATGTATTTTCCTAATTTAATCCAAGAAAGCAGTGCTAAAACCAGACCTTTTAAATCATTTTAGCACATACTTTCAATACACCATAAACACCTTCTAACACTAATGTTGTAGCAGGTAACCAACAGCTTGGACTGTAGTATAAGCAATCATTTATAACTATTTTAATTATTATATCTTAATTTGCAATAAAAGATGGCAAAAATAACCTCAAAAAAAGGATTGTTTTAAAATAACATTGCTATGATAGCACTGTAACAATGCTGATCTAATTAACAAAGAAAAATTATCAGGGTAAATCAAATGACAACACATTTTTTGGGTCAGGGACTTGAAATACTCTGAAGTATTTAATCATGAGTAGCAACACCAGTAAAAGATGATGCAACACCAAATATTTAGCTTAGCTTCACTGCTTTAATGATTTCTATGCAAGAACTTAAATATGTTGGAAATAGTAATTTGTCTAAAAACAGTCACTCTTGAAAGAGCAGAACAATTTAGACACAAATAAATCAGATATTGTATATCCAAGGACAAAACATAGTTCTTCTTGTCTGAATAAATGTAAGTTTTGCCATCAAAATAAATGGGTATGAATTGTATCCAATATCTATGTATTGTTTTAAATACAGTATAAACGTTATTTTACATCATCAAATTCTAATAGATTTCTGTGGCCATGTTTTATAGTGTATACAACAGATTCAAACTGGCTAATTTATGCTGTTTTGGAACTGAACAGGGTTTATAATATTTTGCGATAACCACATCTTTGTTAATATGGTTTACCTTGGATTCCTGACATATATTCTCAATCTTAATTCAGTTTAGGAATAGGTTTTACGAAGTAGTTCCTTCTAATTTGTAATTAGCAGAAGTTTCATAAATGGATATGAAACCACAGACGGGTATCACCTTGTGATGTTCCCAACACTTTTATGATCTAAGATATCTTAAATCCCATAGTTGTCAAACAGCAACAAAGGCAATGCACTTTCTTACATCTGTTGAGCTACAGTGCTTCTGGAAAGTACATTATGACAATAAAACAAAGATCGTAAGTGCAGCTTATTGGTCCACAATTTCGAGCAATTTTGAAATATCTCTAGAACTCTCCAAAGATTCTTTATTCTACATAAAAATAAACTTCTAGTTAACAACAATGAAAAAATGCCCCTTAATTGTCAATCCCTTAAAAAAAAAAAAAAGGCCCCAAAATGTAGCAGCTGAGCACAAAATTTCAGCTTGACTGAGATACTCAATAGAATGGACTGGCCATAAAACCAAAGAGACTCAGAATAAAAGCCAGGTAAGTAAGAACATTAATTTAGACACCTTAAAGTCTAAATTCAGGTTGATCTAAAACTTTATTTGATACATGAGGAGTCACCCAGGACTAATGGAAGAGATTTGGAATCAGTGAAACAAGTAGACTCTAAAATGCACGGTCCAAGCACAGATGGAAGTATTCTCATTTCTGAAATTCATACAGTCTCATTGCTTCCCCTGCTCTTACTTATAAAATTATGTATATTTGCACACACACACAGAGCTGAAATCATGAGCAACTGTCTGTCCAGCAATTTGTCATGTTTTCTTACAACCAAAGAGTTACTCCCACAGCTTCTTTGGGCAAGCAGAAACTCAGCTAGAATCTTTTGCCAAACATCCCTTACCAAAAGTAACCTTTTCTAGGACGACTGTAGCTTCAAGAAATTCTAGAAAACAACTTTATGTTATTTAAGTGGCTCAAGGTACCTTCCACCCACTCAGCTGAACCATACTCAGCATTATAAATATAAATCTATTTTACAACCAAAAGAATGGAAAGGTCTTTTTTTTTTTTTTTTTAAAAACTCCAGCTTTTAGCAGAAATTCCCCATCTTGAAAATTATAACTCTAAGTAGAGCAAATGATTCATAAAGCACAATTGTACCCCAAATATCTGATAGTATGAGCATTTACTGGGAATGTACATGTGAATACACAGTTAGAGAGAAGAAAAAGCTTCTACGCTATGGTGTTTTACACTGTTAATGACTGAATGGGAAAGGAAAGATGGTGACATTCATGTTACTTGACACTGTCTCCAGTTTCTCACCTGTAAGATGGGGTTAGCAATGAAGACAGCTACATAATAACTATTATCATGAGTAGTTGTTATTACGCAAAAGCTGCGGTTACATTTAACAGTATAACAGAAACAAACGTTTACTTTCTTGTCAGAAAGACTTTCAAAACAAAGGTAATACAGAATTTGCTAATCAAGCAAGGTCGCCCTGCAACTACACATCTTTTAAGAGCCCATAATGCAGTGACACTCAACATCCTAAAAATAACAAAAAAGAGATGGGTTAAGGTACATACAAATGAAATCGTAGTTCTTTGACCATAAGCTAATCTGGTTATACCACGCATATTCATGCTCTGTCCTCGCAGATGTGGTCCAATATGTTGCATTATTCATGTAACTTGGTAGCTGTTGGGACCATCAGGTGTATTTAATATCAAGTCAGGCAGGTTTACTTGCATGGTTTAGTACTGTTTTTATGTTACGAGTTTTCCACATAAGAAACTTTTCTGAGATCCTCACACAAATGGAAACAGGATGCCACGATGCCAGTTGTTTCTACGAGAACTATTTACACAAAGCTGGCAAATCTGAATGTAGCTTTCAAATGTTTTAACCACAAGCCTGAAACTTAAAAAAATTTCCATAGCAAAGCTGTAAAAGAACGAAATTATAATATTCCAAATGAGCATTCAAATGAGGTACAATTCACATAACTTCAAATTGAAGTGTCAATCTAGTGTAATTTTTGGGAAATTCTTAGAGAACATTTCTGAAAGTCACAAAAACCTGCAATCATATTCCAGTTTTGTCGTTGCCGGAAACCTGAATGAAAGTGAAATATCACAGATTCAACTTCCTCTGAAATGCAACAGCATGTGCACAATGAAAACACAAACCCACTATGCTTTTTTGAATGCTGCTGTGTCAAAACAGAAATAAGTCCTGCAAGAAAAACCTGTAGTAGGTAACTGATGTTTGAAGTTGAACAGCAGCATTCAAGATGGAACATAGCTTCTGTCAGAAGAAAAAAAAGTAGCAAAGAACAACGAGACTTTAGAGTACTGAGTAAGCGTGCAGATGCTCAATCACAAAATATGCATAAGAGACAATGGATGACAGGATCCTTGCTATTATTAGCAATACCCCAGTGGCTGTAGAAGCTCACTATCACCAAAACTGCTACTGTTTGAATACTAACAGTGAAGAGGACAAAATACTGGTAAAAATGGATTAATCTCAGAGAATTTGATTATGCAGAAAAAGAAAGTGCTGCAAATCAAGAACAGCTTGCATTCATTAGAAATAATCTCTTATAACTAGGAGGTTATAACAGTGACTGATCTCAGAGTAAGATTAGCTCTATCTATTAGGTTGCTTGGAAGTGAGTAAATTAGAGATTCACCTAAGACACATTTCCACTGTAAGCAGGAGGCTGAGTTTGGAGGAACACTAGATGGTCACCACGACAAAAGGAAAGCCCATCATATATCCAGACAACCTGTTGATGGATAAACTTGCCATAGACAATCTAGAACTAAAGATGAAGTCAGAAGCAGTGAAATCAAAAGCAGCAGATGTCTCAGCAGCTTGAGTAGAGCATCCTTGAAGATGAGAGATGATACCAAAAGAACAAGGTGTGAATGAACTGTGGCTGCTCCACCCTCATAATCAAGGCTCAATAAATGTATCTGCTTCCATCACGTGCTTTCCTCCTACAGTATTTAGGAACAAAAAGAAGCTTAGCTACCAGAGCAAAGCAGCTAATAAATTCCTTTGGCCAAGATTCAGTTTATGCAGTTACATGCGACAGAAGTCATTCAAAGCATATTTTGCCACTATATACTGTAAAGTCATTGGCAGACAAAAATGCAACTTACTTGAATATTAAATAGATCAGGACTTGTATGTTTTAGTGAACACCCAAAGAGAATGACAAAGCCCTTTAGTTTCAGAAGCTAGGATCAAGTTCAGAACAAAACGGGCTTTGATGTCAACACACGTACATCATCATTTATACGCTACTCTAGCTTGGGATGATATTGAGAGACTTGAGCAGCAAAAGAAACACTGCAAATGATCAGCAAAGAAACACTGCATCACATAAGTGAAACTCCTGGTAAGCCTCTCTTCAAAGGAGTATAGCCCCCAAAAAGCTGCAAGTCAATGCTGCAAAGCAGAGAACATTATCACAGAAGGGCCTTTGCCAGACTACAATATTGGGAGAAAAGACCAGACCTGCTGCCTAAAAGATGCAAGAAGAGAATACCACAGCTTCAATGTATGAAGAAAAAGGAAAAGGTCTGGTCAGATCCTTGTTTGCTTACATACCAAAATAATCCCAAGCTGGACTGGGTTCAATTTTCTGGTCCACAATGATGTATCAGTGAGCCAAGGCAGTATAGGATACCTGCTCACTTTCAACTCCCCTGCAACAAAAATGTCTGCTGTCAGTTCATTTAAAAATATATTAATTGTTGCGCAAAGCAGAGAGTTGAGCATTAGAAGAGTACTGACATAATTATTAAGCCTTATTCCCTCAGCACAAGGTGGATCACTAAAACAAGGCAACTTTACGTAGAGTAACAATTTAAAAAGCAGTTCCTGCTGGAACATCTCCAGCTAGGTTATCTGTATTACTAATGGCAGGATTCTGGTCCAAAGACAGTCTCAGCAACACTACACAGAGCTCATAGAACACGTCTGGTCATTAGCAATAAAGATGAGTTGTACAACACATACAGACAGTCTGATACATAATAAAAGATACCAAAAGATACCATCTGAGGGATGCAAGAGAAGATCCAAAAGTGTTGAAGATTGTAACTGTGAGTCATTGTTTCTGACGATGAAGTGATTCTGAAGAGCCCCATAAATAAGTCATACCTCATTGAATTATCGGTCAAAGAATGGGAAGAAACATTCACAGATCATTGAGAAACTACACAGCAAAAGTTATGAATATTGTCTGCCAGTTCCTTTTCTTCCAAAGCAAACCACAGAGTACCGTGAAGAACCATCCCGCAAAAAGATGAACATTTTTGTGTGTACTCTGTACTGGAAATAATGAATTTTAAAATCTACTACACGGGTATATTCATGCTCTTAGGTTTAACAATGATATATTCTTGTCCAAAGTATCAGAGAATTAGTATATGGAACAGGACAAGATTTACTGAAATTAATGAAGTCTATGAGCATGACAGGTTCAAAAAGCACCATCACAGATTATATCACCTTATGTAGTACCAATAAATAATCTTACGCCAACATCAGAACTCTCAAAAAATGGCTATCTGCATCTGTCCTAACAGCTTACAGAAACAAACCTGCACATATTCTTGACTCTACTTCAAATCTTTTCAGTGCCCACCCCTCTGTTTCCGACTAATACATACTTGGTATATCCAACATTCTTAAATATTTTTATGACATCTCTGTAATATATTCAAGACAGCAGGATCCTTGTGCAGTACTGACAAGAGCCGGCCACAACTGTACCTCTTTCGCCACCATTCAATACATCTATAACCTTTCCTTATATATCGTTCAGCAAGTATTAATTCCCAACACCTAATGCCAGGTCCAAGTAGAAAAGCTAAGGTTGTATCACAGCTCAACACTTCATTTTATCATTGTTTGAGTTTCACTGAAATCTAAACTATTAAAGGACACAAGCTACCCTGGAATAATGAAGGGAGTATAGCTCACCCTCCTAGATGACTCTTTCCAGTGTTTTGCCCAATTTCAATATTCTGCGCTCCAAAACCAGAATTTCATTTTTCAAATGGCTTTTTGGAATGCCTTCCCAAATTAACTTCCTTCCCCTGTTCATTCCTGCCAGAATATCTTCAATTCTTTTTAATAATGCCTATTAGTCATCCCATCAGACCACCAGTTTTATTCAACTGCATCACATGCTAAGCAGTTACTAGTAGAGGTTTGAAGTTTATAGCATATATTTTGCTCAACTATTACTCATAGCCAAAGATACATATTTCCATGTTTGGATCAGATGACAGATTATTCCAGTATCCCCTCTTACTGGGCACTTTATGGAAACTAAGAAAAAAAATACTTAATAGTTATGAAATAACCTATTGGGGATATTTCCAACACTTAGTGAAGGCTGATTGAGGCTTAAAGGCCTAAGAACTTCTTGCTCTGTTGGAAGAGTTCTCATCATGCATGAGAATATGTAATCTCTTTTAGAATCCTGATATCGGCTAGATGGACTCAGTGATACTTTGTTGTTAAACTAAACTATTTTCTTCCATCTTCTAAAATACCTTTCTTTGCAGTCTAATTGACATTTTTCTTCCTGTGTTCTGAAACGGTTTAGAGAGAACTCAAATGTCTGATTCAACTGACACGCCTCTGAACCTTCAATTAAGGCATAAGTAGGCTCACAAGCTACACTGTAAAACCTCAGGTACTATTCCAGGATAACTGGGGATAGCTTGGCATGCCTGATTCTTCTAAGGTTAAAAAACAACGCCAAGCAAACCCTGCAACACAATCTCCACAATACTTCAGGTTCTTTTTCAAATCCTTAAAAAAATTAAAAGCCCAAATCCTCATATTAATTTTTCTTTAAAAGTCAGAATTAAAAAGTCAATACAAAACAGTATACCTTTGTCATATAAATAGCATCATTTTGAAGATTAATTTGTAAATATTTATAAAAGATTAAGACTGAATTTGTCCTACTTCAATAAAGGTAACTTTTAAAAATTCATATTAATATTATGTAAAGAACATAAAACACTCATTTAATAAAGCTAGTATGAAAAGCAAGTTGAAGTAACAGTCTCACTATGTCTAGACTTAGATATCAGGATTGAGAAGTTCTAATACTGCAAGAATTATTTATGTCTCTTTAGCCAAACTGAACAAAAACTTAGTTTTGATTTGGGCTGCAGTAGGTAATTATTTTATCTCCCCATTCTTGTAATTGTGGACATGGTAAGAGCAAAAAGCACTAGGAAAGTCAGGGTCTGTGTTCATCCATACATTTCAAATTCTATGAGATTCAAAAGAAACCCAAGTTCAAAGTGCAAATGTTGGCCATCTGTCACTAAATTAATAGAAATAAACATTGAGCAGTAAAACAAAACTTACTCAGATACTTGTTCAGCAGTTGGGATATCTACAGAAACTGAAAATAAAAATAAAGGATTTAATTAAAAATATTTTAAAACGCGGAAATACATAAGTACTCACTTTCAAATCCAAATACACAGAAATAACGATAATACAACTGAAAAAAGGACTGCAATAACACAGAGACATCCACATGTAAGTATTTATGTATGCATACTATGTGAAAAAGACACTATGTACTCACCTTTCTCTATAATAACTTGACAAGTATGAGTGTGGCTTTCACTCAGATGTGTGGCCATGCTATCTAAGCCAGAAACATCAGTCAGGAAATCACAGTTAAGACATACTACAGTCACACCTCTAGAGAAGAGAAAGTAAAAGGGAAGTATAAATACAACATGGTTGTGAAAACAGTTTTCTTAACTTACAGCAACTGGACAGATTATAAAAAAAAGTTTCCTTCAACTTTAGATGACTCACAAAACCACATTGTTACTTTTTATACTGCAGCTAGCACCTGGAAATCCCAATCAATGGCAGGGCATCTCCATGCTGGATGTAGTACAAAGAATACCACTTTAGACAGAAATTTAGCTGTGAAGCGCGAGTTTCTCAGTTTTGTTTGTTTTGTTTCTCTCCCTGCCCTCCATTTTGCACATTATGAATAACTGGAAAATAAAGACACAAATGTTTTTAAAAACTGCTCAGGATTAAGAACAAAGTTAATAAATGTGGACAAATAACAAATATTTGTCACCGAACAGAACACTGCTAGTGGAAGAGCTAATGTTTTTAATTCCCTGCTCTTTCTAAATTGCGGAAGCCTGGAAATTTAAGAGGCCCTAATCTCATTTCACTAATCAGTTCACTATCAGAAAGTGAAAACATAATGATCTGTAACTGAAAAAAGCTGAATTAATGCAGCTCTTCCG